ATTCGTATGTGACACTTAACATCCGTAGTTGTGTAGTTTTAAATTACTTTTTCACTCTTCAACTCACTACAGTTAGAAATTTGTTTAAAAAAATGTTAATGAATTTGCAAAAATGTGCAAGTTGAGCAGGGGGTCTACCGAAAACCAGAAAACATAGCAAGGGGTCTACGGGACAAAAAAGTTTGGGAACCACTGGTCTAGACTCTAGACCTGTTTCAAATTTAATTACATGAATGATCCAAACTAATTGATTTTTGTTGCTCTACTTTGCTATTTCTTTTCTTCAGAAAATTAAGTTCCCTCCTTTTACCTATGATAGAGCTTTGGTGTAGGCCTATAATCGTCCCGGTAGTCACGTAGATCCACTGAGGCGTTAAAGGCCTACACACACACACACACACATACTTTTGTTTTTTCCCTACGACACAGATCATCTTTCATCCTTTATTTGTAATTGCGGGAATATGTTACCTGACAATGAATTCGTTTTATTCTAAAATATACTTTACTTTGTTGGCACGTCAGTCTGAGCTGTGTACATATGGTTCAGCAATATAGTTTTTATTTACAATTTAAAATACAAAGAACAGGATACGAAATGTAAGTAGATGATGTTGTTGTTTTTTAAATATAAAGTAAAATTATTTAAATAAATAGTTTAATCTTTAGCAAAAGATACAACATGCCAATTAATTGTTGTATCCGCACTGTCAAATTTATAACTTTGTTAGTGCGTTTAGTGCAGATAGTTGTTATTGTTTTTGATTGAAAAATTTCCTAATTATAAATTATTACTACAAAACAGCATAAAGGTAATTATTTTAATAAGATAATCGTTCAATTATTAATTTAACCCTTTGTTGGTTAAAATTGTGACGCACTAGACTTATTTATTTATTATATTATATATATATATATATTAATTTTTATTATCAATATGGAAATTTGTCTTACAATTTGTGCATTATACCAAACAAAACAGCCCTCTCTGTAGATACTAGCAGAATCGTATATCTACAACAAGATCACAATGTCCTCATACAAAAGAAAAACTGAAACCAAAGAGAAAGAATTTGAAGAAATCAAGACAGAAAATGTAAGTTGTCGTTCTATAGCTGTAAAAAAAAATTATGTATAAATCTGTTTCGATTTTTTAAAATATAATTTATAGTTCATTAAATGTTTGTGCTGCCTGATCGAGTGGTATGCACTCTAACCTGTCGTCTCGGTGGTATGACGTTCGAGCCCTGTCCGCCGCTACACCCCCGTCCTCCTACGGAAGGTTGAGGCTAAGATGAAATAATCTTCATCTATGAAAGCACATTTGAGACTTGACTTGTACATGAAAGCACTTTTGAGACTGGTACATGAAAGCACGTTTGAGATTTGTACATGAAAGCACATTTGAGACCTGTACATGAAAGCACATTTGAGACTTGTACATGAAAGCACGTTTGAGACTTGTACATGAAAGCACGTTTGAGACTTGTACATGAAAGCACGTTTGAGACTTGTACATGAAAGCACGTTTGAGACTTGTACATGAAAGCACGTTTGAGACTTGTACATGAAAGCACGTTTGAGACTTGTACATGAAAGCACGTTTGAGACTTGTACATGAAAGCACATTTGAGACTTGTACATGAAAGCACGTTTGAGACTTGTACATGAAAGCATGTTTGAGACTTGTACAACTGTAACGATGGAACTGTGTGGTCAAGACAGGGTTGTGAAAACTTTATAGTTTGTCTTCATCGGAACAATGTTCCATCATTTAAATACCATTGTAATGCCAGAGAATGTAATTTAAAGCTTTTTTGTGTGTGTGTTTGCACTTTATAAAATCATTAAAAAAAAATATTTAAAAAATAATAAAGAAAACAAGAGAAATATATTTTCATGAAAGATTAAAATGGAACTGTGTCTTTTCTAAGGGAATTTTATATTTATACCCGAAAATTATAGCTTTTTCCCCCTGAGTTTCCCCAAGCTTTTTTCTTAACGAACACATTGCACTTTCTGAGTATTTAGCGGGACACTTTGGTTAGGCCTACAAAAGTTGTGTTTTTTTTTTGTTTTTGTTTTTTTTTACACTGTGGAGTGAACTTTTGCAACCTTTTCCGTTTGTAGCTCACTATCTCTAGCTAATGACATACAGGTTCAGCGTTTTGACATTGTTTTACTTTATCCTGAAAATCTCCACTACAGACGTCATAGTCTTTCAATAGTTTTAATCTTATATTTCATAAAAAAAATGTGATCATTACATTGTCATTTTAATCATAATCTTTAAATTTCATGAAGAAAAAACCTATTTAATCCCGATTTAAAAATAAAAAATCATCTCCCCTAAAAAGGCTAGAACTCAAAATCAATTTTTAAAAATCCCTGAAATATTTTAAGACGATTTTTTAAAAATTTAAAATATATAATTAATGTGTCATAACTTAAATAAAATACACTACGCAATTTAATCAAAACATAGTTACATTTTTCGTTAAGCATTAAAACGAAATATATGTACATAAAAACGGTAGACAATATTTTTATATTAGGTATATTTCATTGATTCTCCAGAATAAAACATACTTTTTCCTTAATAATGTCAAATGTGGAAACATTACCAAAGGTAGGTGTATTATTTGTATAAATCAAATTTCGTTGGATTAGCTGTAAAACTAATGAACAGATCTAATCGTTTCTAATGTCTAGATCAAAGTCTATGATTTTTTGTGTTCATAAAATTTAGATTATATGTATATTATATATCTGTGGTATTTTACGTCTCGAGAGACGATCTTTTCCCTTTGCAACTTTGCAAACTTTGTCCCTTTTTGACGAAAGAGGCCAATCCTTGATACACAGCTGCGGTCGCGGGTTGGGCATATGCGATCACCAGGCGCCGTTGCATTTTCACCCTTCTTTCTACTTCTGTTCTGTATGGCATCTGCAATCCGTGACCCTTCCTTTATGCTCTCTCTCCATGTAGATCTATCCAGTGCTACTTTTTCCCAGCTGCTAGTATCGATTTTGAAGAGCTTCATCTATCTATCTATCTATCTATCTATCTATCTATCTATCTTATCTATCCATCTATCTATCTACCTATCTATCTATCTATTGTTTTTGAGTAATTACATTTATTGGTGTCCTTTTTAATAAAAAGTATTTTTAATATTTTTAATAATTTTAAGAAAAAAAAATATAGAAATTATTTTAAATTATAAATGTCTTTATAAGCATTAATTAAAAATTATATGTCAAATATTTCTGATAGTTCAGATTATCACTTTGACATGTGTGGTGGGTTCGACACAGAATTACAACAACCAAAATGACGAGGCAAGTCAGGAGGCTTATTTCAAATTTAATGTACACAAAAAAAACCTGCAGCCTTAGCCAAAACAATGAACTTAGGAAGAACACAGCAGGATCAAACAAGGTGGTATTGGAATAGGTGCGTAGCAGCAAGTTTCAATGGAGGCTGCCAGCAGGAAAAGGAATTCAAATCCCAGCTACCGGGGCAGAGGTCAACTTGAGCTTTTGCTGACCGGTGCTTGGTCAAGTTCAGCCGACACATATATCAGGTCCTCCCCACTACACATGTTTAGACTTAATGATTATGATAAATATTTAGGTTACGATTTAGTTTGAAATTGATTTCATCTACATTTTAAGGAGAATGATTTTGTTTCATTTTTGAAAAAGATAAAGTATTTGTCATATGTTATTCCACAATGTCACCAATGACAACTCAGAAAATTAATCATAAAGTGTCATTTTAGAAAGTTTGAATGTAACCAGTGCCCAGCGGAGTGATGATTCTAATGATAGTGAAGAAATTGCTCAGTGGAACTATGATTCTGATGACAATGAATCCGCTGCTCAGTGGAATGACGATTCTGATGATACTGAATCCCTTGCCCAGTGGAATGATTCTGATGATAGTGAAGCCAACGAAGAACGTGGTGTCAAGTCAGATGCTACTAAACGTCCATTAATTGGTAACTATTGAGTTTATTTCTTAGTGTATAAAATGTTGAGATCGGCACTTGAGTTAGACTTGATCTATTAATAGATATCTCTTGATTGTATCAATCCGGTACTTTTTTTCCCAAACATTTCATCAACTCAAGTTTATTTCCGTGTTCTCAAGGTGATCATGAAACTCAAGAGTCAGAGGGTGGAGAGGTTAATCTACACAAACATCGCGATGACTGTAAGAAAAATCCAGATCATAAGCAGTTTATACCTGTTGATACATTCACTTTGAATGATTTACCCAAAGAATATCAAGACAATGATTTGTATGAATTCCTCAAAGTTATAGCTGATCTGACAGTTAGAATAAGTGTTGTAATGACAAGCCCAGATAGACCAGAGTTTTGGCCAGAGACAACCAAACCATATCCATTTAGTAAAACAAGTAAGCCAGAAAACTTGAGGACAGGAAGTGGAATTGTAAGGCATGTAACCAAGTTTCAAGATGGAGTAAGGCAAGATGGATATATCGGACCCACTGTTTACAAAAACTGTTGGTGTAAAAAATGTGAAGGTTCAGACTCAGCCAGCAGCGTGTGGTGGGAAATTGATGTGAACACAGCCACGCATGTGGTTTTTGATGACATCGAGGCTAGCGACACGACCTTGAGATTGTTTTTTGATACAGAAAACTGTGAAAAGGTCATTGTGGATACTGTCAGTGTGCAATATTTTAACATTGAGTATGACATGTGTGGGCTGAAATGTGTGACATGCGACGAGAATTTAGGGAATAAACTGATAGAAATGTGGAAAGATTATGAAATTATTCATGGGAAAGTCTTTAACAAATACAAAAGCGCTAGCTTAGAGAATAATAGCCAGGGTGTGGAGTTTAAGTTAAACTTTATAGTGTCCCATCCTCATGGATGTTCTAAACAGGTCAGTATTGGTGAATGGAAGGACAAACTAGAGGTGGGTGAAGATAGGGCGAAGTTTACTTACAATACTTGTACATGTCCAGGAAGTAGTGGAGCACATGTCATCTGTCTGGGGTATAATGATGATTGGTTGTCCGATCTTGTTCACAGTGGGACTTTAGATTCTAAAATAAATTACAGTGGAGTTGGTTTGTTCTAGCGAGCAGAGACTAGTCCACCATGAGCATGTAAAATTTTTAGAACGCTTTTAAATTTAACTAAAAAAAAAACAAAGTCTCTTTAGTCTAGGTGCTATACTGTAGGTTATTTCTCATTACACTTAAAAACCTTTAGATTAGAACTTGATTTTAACAATTTCATTTGGACTTCAATGATAATATTGTTTTTCAATAAAATTAAATGACTTCCTGGCATTTTAAAATTTTGTTATAATTTTTTTCTGTGATGTCATTATTTTTAATATAACATAACAGCGTATCTTTAATTAATTATACAAAATATTTGTTGGTTTGTTAAACATTCTGTTAAATCAAAGATTACCGATATCTGGTTATTTGAACAAAAATATTGACAATAATTCCAAACAAAAATTTTTTGATTAGTAGATCTACGTAAACTAGAACCATAGACATAAATAAATATAGACTGGCCGATTAAAGAGTTTTATGAAACGAAAATTTGTGACTTGCAATTTTGTGTACTTTATTATACAGCATATATGAGCAGTATAAAAGTTAAGTATTCATATCTATTTGAGCCATAACCTATATAAGTATTACATATATTGTAAATAAGGAGGCAGTGTAGTTTTGTTTAATTTCTAAGAATGAAGATCATGTAATTTTTCATTCGGAAATCCGAATACAATAGATATACATGTTTTCAAGTTACATGAAGTTACTTCCTTCGGCCAGTCTATATTTATTTATGCCTATGACTAGAACAAAATTTAAAAAGTAGTTGATGAATACAATTTTTAAGGGGATACATTGGAAAGGAAGATCACGTGGCACAATTATTCTAGATTCATTAAGCTATTTTGCTGACAAAAAGATTTCAGTCGCATTTACAATGAATGTTTTGTATGAATTCCTCAAAGTTATAGCTGATCTGACAGTTAGAATAAGTGTTGAAATGACAAGCCCAGATAGACCAGAGACAACCATTCCATATCCATTTTATAATAAAAGTATCCCAGAAATCTTGAGGACAGGAAGTTGAATTGTAAGGCATGTAAGCAAGTTTCAAGATGGAGTGAGGCAAGAAGGATAGCCTGTGTACGCTATTCTGCCTCAACGTGGCACTCGGGTGGAAACGATCGCTTGAGGAAGTGATTAGGCTAAATGAATAGCAAAGCAAAACTCCTGTGGGAGTGTCTAAGGGAATGCGAGAGTGTTCCTATTTCACGGAGCGGAGTTGAAAGAGATGGGGTTCCCGGTGTGCTCGGCCTTCGGCCATGTATTCTAGACCATGCTCCCGGAGTGTCAGATACATCAGAAATAGCTATGCTTTATATAGGCACTGACTTAGACTTCTTCCAGACAGAACTGTTTGTTTAAGCAGGCTTACACGCCTAGAGTTCGAAGAACCTTCGGCTTAACTCTTTTGACAATCCCACAGTTAGGACATCAGCGGTATAGAATAGGCAGTTAACAAAAATACTTCAAACGCGTAACATCGATCTAGCGACAGAAGACTTCTATTCCATCCCGTAACTTAGAGTATTTCTTTGCTTCCTTTTCAGTCAGATTAGTTCATGTATATCATGTCCTATGAATTTAACTGTTTAAAATCAAACTCAAGCAGACGTTATTTAATCGCATAAAATACACAACCATCATTCATTACAATTACATTGACTGGCTGCCTGGTCGTGCGGTTTGCGCGCTGGACTGTTGTTCAGATTTTTCGATGGTCCAGGGTTCAAACCCTGCCCGCTCCCATCCCCCGTCGTCCTGCGGGAGGTTTGGACTAGGAAGTAATTATCTTCAACTCTGAAAAAACATCCGAAACATGTATAACATTTTAAACAAACAAAACAAACTTACATTGTCTCTATCTTCGGCTATATAGTTTAATTTTTGCATTATCTGTTAAATGTCTTTTTTTATATTAAAACTGTCACCAGTTATTTTAAATGGTCGTTGGCTGACATTAGATTCATATTATAATGATATATATTATAGACTTTGCCAGGAGGAATACTTGCATATTCATACCTCTCTCGAAAATTAGGAAATAACTCTTTGATGTAGCAGACACAAATAATACGTTTAATATATACAATAATAACACCACATAGGAAATATGATACACAATCCAAGAATAATCAGTAATATTCCTTTATAAAACTACTTGACAAATGTAGTAATAACTTGGTAACTGGTACAAATCTCAACTAACTCTTTATAATAACTCTAGAGTTACTGCTTACAACAACTGGCTTCTATTAACTCTTACATATTCTGATTGTTCCTTACTGACTGTTGTCCCTGATATTACTGACTGCTCTCAAGTAACTGCTTAGCTCAATGTTAAAAGTGTTCTCCTTGATAAACATGAGTTGTGAATTACTTTTATAATATGAAAATATGGTATCTACTGTATGGCACCAACTTTCAGGTGGCGACAAAACGATAAAGGAAAAAACCCTTTTCAGACCTTGCGATCTATAGGGCAGATGATGTAAAGGATGTCTGTTTCTATAGCCGAGGGTAACGAGGGTGTCATGTGGCTAGCACAATTATCAACCCATTTCCTGTCCCCAGCTAATGTCATGTACCCATTAAAGCTCGGTGGACTCAGGGGCACCCTAAAGATCCCGAATTTAAAATCCCAGTTTTCACCAAGTTTCGATCACGGAACACGGTGTTTGTAAGCGAAGCGCTTTACTACTCTGCCAACACGCCCCTCCCCCTTATTAAAACAATATCAATGCTAAATACACAAGTATTCATGCATAAGCAGCGTATTGTCGAGCAGAGTGTAGGACTGTGCTTCCGTGAGTAAGAAAAACGGACAGCGCGTGGCCATAGTTATCCCAGTGTTGGCAAACAAAGCTTACAGCCATCTTGCGTAGTTTGAGAGCAACAGTTTCGTCGATGCCATTTTCCAAGAAATATTCGACTGATAAAAATAAACAGTTACCTGATGCAGAAATTTCGACTACATTGAAAGACCTGTTGACTCCACGAAATATATGTGAAGCGGTGGCCATGGTTAGGAAACGAAGGGGCAAAATCAAAACAAATCTACAAAAAAACAACAACATGCAACTATTTTAATGACACCCAGATATTGACTTGTGTAAAAAAATACACACATAAATGTAGTCAAATATATAGAATGTATAAAAAGAAAGATTACTTGTTCTCCAGGCCCCTTCTTTATTTTCTGTCGCCGCGAAAGTTACGTGGGGTAACTCTAATCCGACTTGCAGACTTTCCATGACTTTTTCGTGGTGTCTCGAATTATATATATCGATACTGTATGACTTCGCGTAAAGTAATTCTGTACGCAGTAAAGAATGAATAAAATGCAAAGACGGATTTATTTTCTAATACAAACTCTTAATTTTCACTTATTATCCGTAACCCTACCCAAACTGGACCCGCGCAATCCGTTTCGCATACGGCCCCGCAATGGTTAAGTCCGGCCCTGCTATTTAGTGACGTGTGAATACAGAAAAGATTACATGTTTTCCCCCCCCCCTTTTCCTTTTAATTTTCGCAGCGAAAGTTACATGGGGTAACTCTGGTTTGAGATATATCCATTGAGCGGTTGAAGAGAAGTATACATATAAATAGATGCTTTAGTTTAACTCTTTACTGTCACACAGATGTAAGATGTCCCTATATGACGAGGGTATTGTGTACAGACAGCACACAAATTTTAGTGAAACATGATATAGTTTTAGAAAAGCATTTTAAAATAAGAAACTAAAAATCAATTACTCATCAATGTTTAGTCTCTTAAAAAAGTTCCCAATAGTAACGACCATGTAATGTTGAAGTGATTTATTTATCTCCTTTAGAAGATATCGCTTTTGATGTGCAATAATAGTATCAAAGCAATATTTTAAAAGACAAATATGTTCTGATTCATAATTTAATAAAAAATTAATTGTTAATCCATTTATAATGTTTGTAAAAAAATTTTCCTGATTTTTTCCCAATACAACCAACTTTTCTCCATCTTAATACAAATGGACATAGTACTTATGTCATAATGACTTAGAAATAAAGTAATCTTATAAAACAAATACAAGCCTTTAGGTTTATTGTTTTCTAAAAGCTAATATTTAGAACAATGAACAATAATCTAAGTTCACTATACATTAATACATTACAAATATTACCTGTAAATATAAAGAAATAATAATTTTTATATAGCTACATTTAACAGACAACAAACTTATAAGTTCTTACTGCTAGAAAGTAAATTGTTAAAAGGTCAATAACGAATTCTCTTGTATATATTGAAATCTAAATTTACATTTGCAAGGGAAACAACTGAACAGACTTCACCACACCGTCCACACCCATTTTAATTTTATCCAGACTTGTAGTTACAGTAGGCTTACTCTTTAATATCGACTGCTCAGTTCATCTTGCATTTTGTGCATTACACCTAACAAAACCTTAGAATAATAGAAAACCAAAACATACATTCACACCAGACTCACTCTTGGTCAAGTACACACATTCTTAGACAAAGTACATTGATATAAGCTTTATAGCAGCGCATGCAAAATAAGCCATGCAGTTACCATCAGCCATTGACAAATGAAAAAATCAAATGATTCATCCAAAAAAGGCTTTTAGTTTACTTATCTGCTAGTAGCTCTACATAACACTAACACTGGCGTTAGCTTAGATACATTGTATTCCAATTTAGAATATTATACATAACTTCATTGAATGTACTAAGCACAAAATAGGACTTTGATACACTCATGTATTTTGTTAGTATTATAACTACTAATCAAATTATATGCGTTTACTTTTTTTTAATAAAAAAAAAAGACTCCTTAACAAAGTAGGATACTATTTTTAAAAAGCTTATACCAACTCGATCTGTCTGTCAGGCCAAAAGTTCGTACAAGTTATTTCTCCGACACCCAATCTCGGATTTAGCTGAAATTTTGCACAAATATTTCTTTTACCTGACAACACAATAATCAATTTTAAAAAAAATAACCAATTAGTTAATTAACTATTGGTAAACAATTATTTTGTTTTGGTATCTCAAACAAGGGAAAGAAATTGTACTTGATTGAAGTGGTGGTATAAACTGAATTAGTCCCCTTTATAAATTGTCGTCTGAGGCTTAGTGAACACAAACATGAAATAGAAAACAATAGATAACTATACAATCTTCCATGTTTATAGAGTCTTCGCTAACAGATTGGTTACCGCGATG